ATATTGAACTTTTTAAAAGGGAATTTTGATTGCTTCAAATGTTCTAAATTCTAGGATTGTGCTAACCATATGTTGCTTTGTGCAGAACCCACTTTAATGAACTACTTTAATAAAAAAGGAAGAATAGCTTGGGATGAGCATTTCAAATATGAAGTTTTAGCCATGCCAGCTTCTACTTATGCTAAAATTACCCATATCTAATAAATTGCTTTTTTATTATGGGAAACAATGTTTTCCTTGAGTAGGCAGCAATTCCAATAGCAATGCTTTTCATCCTATTTATTTGCTTATTAAAAATAAGCATAAAATTTAAATTTTTCAAGGCTAAAATCATAAACTTCAAATTAGTGTATCTAAATAAAATTTTACTGTACCAATTTCTAAATGTGTAGTACTAAATTTTAGGAAAAGCTATTGCAATTAAAATGGAAAAGGCAATAAAATAGTTTTGAGAATACTGAACTAAAGGTCCAACTCTATCCCAGGTCTCACTAATTACAATGTTTCTACATCTATAATAGTATCTAAATGAAGATGATCCAATTATGAGCATAATGGAATTTATCAGCTTTTTTTGTGCAAAAGTGGAATCAAAATCACAATGTTCAGGACTTCAACAAGCTTTAATCTTCACTGATTCTGAATTTGCATTAAAAATTGAATATAGATATAATCATGATGAACCCTTGTGATAATGTAAATCTGTTGAAGTTTTTCCTCCAATTGACCTGAAATTCTGTACCCTTTAATTAGGCCCCCTCCAACTTTGAACCTCTTATGCCCTACTAACCATCATTCATTTCCATTTTTATAGTCTGAGCATGATTAATTTCCTCAAGTGAGTGAGTTTTTGTCTCTCTACTTCCAATTTATTTATTTAACGCATTTCCCTCCAGGTTCATCCATGTTGTCATAAATGGGAAGATTTCTTTCTTCGATAAAGTGGAAAAGCTTTCTGTAATATACCCCATGCTCTGTATCAATTGAACTGCCAATGGCCATGCATGTTGATTACATGTCCTGGTTACTGTAAGGCTACAGAGGAGGGCAAAGGTCTCCCTGACACCCTGATTGAATTTCCTCTGGCTATAGATCTGGTCATGGGATTGCTGGACCACGTGGCAGCTCTACTTTTAGGTTTTGGAGGAACCTCCACACTGTTTCCCAAAATGGCTACACCGATATTCATTCCCCCCAACTGTACAAGGATCTCCCTTCCTCTCTGTGTTCTTGCCAACACTTGCTACCTTTTATCTTTTTAATACTAAGCCATTCTATGGGGTACTAGATGATAGCTTTTGTGGATTTAGTTTCCTAAGACTTGCAAGAGAGTAGATTTAAACTGATCTCACAACAATTATTAAGTCAGATAATGCATGTGTTTATTAGCTCAAAGTGCTCATACCACACACAGATACATAGTCTAAATACCATGTTGTATGCTGTTTTGTCTCTTAAAATAATTTTAAAAGAGAAGAGCCATGGAATGTAGCCAACTCATAGGCCTTCCTTTTAGGTGGATATTTCATTACATTTTTCTCTTAAGCTCTTCATTCAAGGTCAAATGAAAAGAATTTCTGGAACGTCAACTAAAGCCACATAATGGCAGGGGTAGATCTCATGCAGTATTTCACAAATCTTACAAAGTTTTCAAATGATCCAACTGTACTGTAATATACATACTTAAGGGATTAAAACATTTTTATTAAGAAAATAGTTAATAAATTGGCCATGCATGGGATTGCTAGACCATATGGCAGCTCTACTTTTCAGTTTTGGAGAAGTTATATGAAAGAAGCTATATGAAAGTATTGGTTATTATTGGCTAATATAATGTAAAGGCATTGAATATACATGGGATACTTCAGTAACCCCACTTTCAGAGCACATGTGTGACTTCTCATTGTAACTTCTAAATGTTTTTCTTTTTTTGTATTTTAGGGAAGGGTCTACAGGGTGTTCAGTGTAGTGATCTACCCATTTATAGCCTCCCAAGAGCTGGGATTACAGGCATGTAACACCACGTCCAGTTTCAGCATGCCCCGGGAGCAGGGCTGGCACAGCAGGCCCAGGGATTGAATCCCCAGGCCTTGCACCTGCTTGCAGGCCCTTTAATCCTTTGAGCTATTTGGCCAATCCTTGTAACCTCTAAATTGAATTACTGAAAACTTAGTAGAAAACTGTAAATTTTTTGCATAAAACCCATAAATTTTCAAAGCAAAATCTGTTCAGATTAGTATTCGATATTCAATTGGGAATGCATAAATAAAATCCAAAAGCAACACCTTTCCCCAGTCTCTTTATGAATTTGTGCAAGTGTGCAAAATCTTGTTTTAATTCACTTTCAACAAACATGATTTATTTGCAAGTGCTCAAAATAAGATGGCTTAAATTTTTCTTGCTTTAGGAAGTTTGCTTTTACCCTTTCTCTTATTTTTTCCCTAAGTTCCTGTATCACACATAATTTTCTCCTGGTGGCTGTTTCTCAGTCAGCACTTCTTCAGAAAGAAAAGTGTTCAAGCCAAACAATGTATCCTATGAAACAATTCTAAGAAGCAAATTTGACATCATATGGAAAAGTTTCTAGAAGATCAATCTGGCTTTAAGGAGTTACCTCTGGCAATTATGAAAATCTTTACACCTTCCTCCTAAATTAGATTAGGTTATGTGGAGGGGACAGAAAGAGTATAATTTGAATACTTAAGAAATAGCAATCCATGAAGAATTAAGCCATCGTAGTGTCTCATCTGCCTAAGAAATTAAGTAAGAAAAATTTTCAGATAATCTGCAGTGTTTCCTAATCTTGTCAAATTTTGTATCAGTGGATCATGAACCAAATGTAATCTCAGGTTCAGAGCACATCTGCTCTTCTTCCTTACAATCCAATACAGTCTGGGATGTGTCATGTTAACTGTTAACAATTAAGGCAGGAAAGGAAGGAAGATAGAGGAAGAAAGGGTGCAGGAGGGGAAGAAGGGAAAAAAAAAACAGAAAAGAAGGAAGATGGAAAAATTGTTTTTTAAAATGTAATTGGAAGAAAACCCACCTAGCTCATGTGTTTCAGAAGGTCCAAGCAATAGGAACATCCTCCCTCAAATTGTCTCTCTCTCTCTCTCTCTTCTTGAAATAAACAGAAACAACTGTCTGGTAAGCATGCTGGGATTTGCTAATTTCAGGCATCTTAGAATCCCTTCTTCCGTGTCTTTGTGGTAGGGTGTGCTGGTTCAGCTCTGTAGCTTACATGGCATATTGCTTTCCTAGTTCTCAGTGGACACAATTCATTTTGTATTAGATAAGGTCAGATGATTTTTCTTCAGTGAAAAACTATTTTCTCGGGGCCAGGGAGATGGCTCAGTGGAATAAGCGCTTCCCTGGCAAGCGCAAGGACCTGAGTTCAATCCCCGGTTCCGGAAAAAAAAAAAAAAACTATTTTCTCATCTTTGAAGAAACAGTACAAGCAATCTGCAAAATACTTCTTTGAAGCTGGCCAAATAACTCAGCTGATTAAAGCACCTGCAAGCAGGTGCAGGGGCCGGGGGTTTGATCCCCCAGGCCCGCCCACAGGGTGCATTGAGACACTGGGTGTGGTGGCACACACCTGTAATCCCAGCACTTGGGAGGCTGTAAACAGGAGAATCACTACAAGTCTGATCTAGTAGTATGAACCTGAACACTATATACCCTTCCCTAAAATACAGACAAAATAAATAAATAAAATAAAGAAATAATAATGGAAAGCTGGATCATCCAATGAGAGAAATTCTAATTGGCTGCCACAAAAGACTTCATTGCTAACTGAAAGATACCATTGTGTGTTTTTCTTTTTATTGCTTATCAATCATCTGACACAAAATCTCATGCAATATTATTCTAGACAATTACATAGAATGTCATACTCATCCTAAAAAAGACTAGTAAAGCTTTTCCTAATAAATAACCATGTGTGCACTTGGGATTCAACTCAACTTTTACTCAGAGAGGAAAGGAAATTATTTTGAGGTGTATGCTGAATGATCTTAGAGGCTTTTTCTTTCCCTCTTTCAGATATATGTTCAAGGAAAATGGAATAAAATAAAACTTGGAAACATGTGAAAAGTACCACTTCAGCCCGAGGAGTTAGGCAGTAATTCTCACTTGAGTTTATCTCTTTAGCAAGCACCCATATTTTCACTCTAAAAGCTATTATATTTGCTACTGACTTCATGAAGGGCATTTCTGAAAACACAAAGGCTCCATGGCCACCTGCCTTAACTGAAGCAGCTATTCTGAGTAAGCGTGGCCTGAACCAGTGTCCCCAGGAAGAATCGCTTGTGACTTGATTTTAAGGATTTCAATGCAGGTTCCCCAAAGATACACAGGAGATTTTACAAGTAGAAATCATTTGCAAAATGTTCTGGAAGAGATCCCTCTGTAATAAGCTCACTGCACTCAATGACACCTTCAGTGGTTGACATGTTACTATCTCAGATAAGGCCAGCAATTATAAGCAAATTGAACACTTGGAAAATGAAACAAGAATTTTAAACACGACCAAAGAATGAGTTATATATGACTAAATTTAAGCCATATTTCATGTAGAATTGTTCAGTTTGCTCAACTTGATTTATCTTGCTCATCCTATATCCATTACTTAAAAAGGAAATGCACATAAAATACAAAATGCCTCAGATTAACACAAACATGTTTTTATTAAAGAATGAATGCATTTATGCTAAAGAATTGCTTACATATGTCATAAAGCGACAAGCATTTCTTCAAGAGGCAAGCTCTCCTCAATATGACTCCATGCTTATTGTTCATGCCCGAAGACTAGACCTGCACATAGGGACACACACACACACACACACACACACACACACACACACACACACACAGACCTATATACAAACACACAGGGACACAGACCAAAATGTTGACACCACTGCTCTCTGAATTAGATTAGCACTCATATAAGGCTTCTAAGGTGCCCCTAACATTACCAGGAAAAAAACAGACTTCTATCGAGGAGCAATACTACCTGGGAAATGAAGGATCAGTTCTTGACTTTAAATGCATGTATTTTAACAAATGTTTTCAATTTCATTCCATGTCAATTCTTTATGATATTTAAAGATCCATGACACTGAGATGTCTGTGCTTTCTTAGCAAGACTTTCTCATGAGGATTAATGAACAAATGGGCAACTGGAATTCTCAGACATCAGCAACTTTAGGGTAACTTGTTGCTAAGATTTGCCTCAACTTGGAGGTGGACGTGGGTTTTCTAGACAGGTCAAATTTATCTACCTTATTCCCTGTCTGAATGTCATGTTACATGATGGGGCAATGCTTGCTTGGTGGTCCCAAATCAGATCTGAAGCTTGCCATGAAGGATTTATCCAACAGGATGTTAGCCAAGTAAGCCAGCCAGACTCGGGGTTGAGCAAAGGACACCCCAAAGAGTTGGTTCCCGTGCTGCTCACTCATTGCCTTTTACTGGGGTTTTTGCTGTTTTTCTAAACTCCTGGTTGGTTTGCTTCTTATTTATTTCATTTGTTTCTTTGTTTTCTTCCCTTTTGGTGTCCTGCTGGGCAGGCTGTGAGAATCCCTACCTCTAGGGATGCCAGCAGGAGAAAGACAGCAGGCAGCGTGGGAGGAGGGAAAGCATTATTAGTAGCTGCAAGTATCCTAAGAAAATAGATAAAGTGAATACAATAAGGGGGTACTACTGGATATATTCATGTAAATAAAAGCACTATCTTTAACTGTGAATTAACTGCCAACTACCGGGTGGTTAGTGGTAAAGCCGGAGGAAGGCTGTGCTGATGTGCATACTGAGGAGAGTCTGAAGGTGGCATGGGAGAGGCCACTCCTTTGTCCTGAGCTTTCCCTCCACCTGCGGCCTCCCCAGCATCAGCACCCTCTCCCACCACCCTGAAGGGACCCGGCAGTGCCTCAAAGCCTTCCTGTTGGATCTCATAAGGCAGATGGGAATGGTCCGTCACTCGCAGCCGCAGAATGTTTGCCTGAGAGTGGTGCAAACTGGCACAGAGCTCTCCCACCAGGAGATGTTGGAACTTGAGGAAAAACTAAGATGTCTAGCCCCTTCCTCCCCGTCCTCATGCCCACCCTCCTCCAAGCCACAGCAGCAGCAGATTTCAATGTCACGTAATTATTTTAATGATACATTTCTTTAGACTTAGAATTGCTCATCTGCGTTGAAAAAGCATGGTCGGCCAATGGTTTTGCAGTCTTTCATCCCGAATTTGAATGGTCGCTTATGCATCTCTCCCGTTGAGCTCCTTAACCAATGCTGCCTTTGCCGGATCAGCCATCGTCAGACTCCAGTTCCTGGGAAACCTCTTCGGAGGAGCTGTTCCTGTGGATCCGCCCGTCGCTCTTCATGCTGTGGAAAGTCTTCCTGAAGGCCTCCATCATGGCATGTGCCAGCTTCTTAGCCTCGAGCTTGCTCTCACACTCCACGGCGTGGCAGTCCATCTGGTAGGACAGGTCATCGTTGATCTCCCTGTAAACCCAAGCAAAGATGTTGGGGCTCACGTTGTGGTCGGCGGTGCAGTAGGCAATGCGGGCCACCTGGAAGGTATCCATGTGCACCGTGGCCTCCCCTTTGTGGTCGAGGTGATGCAGCCACACTTGGAAAGGGCGGATCTCCAGAAGGGCGTTGGCTGGGAAGATGTCTTCCCGGGTGAGAGTGTGCTTCTTCCAGAGCTCAATCACTGGCTTCTCCGTGCAGCCTGATAAGAACTGCATGCCTGTGGTGGAGACTTTCCCCAAGTAGGTGACCTGCAGGGGGCAGAGAGGAAAAAAAGAACAGGTCAACAGGAAGCTCTTAGCTCAGGCAGACCTGTGAGCTGGTTTGCAGACAGCCCCAACAACCCACTGAGAGGCACACAGGCAGAATTTTTGTCCTTTGAAGGACAAATGGCAATCACAGCCTTCACCTTTGCTCCCTAGCATGCCCTCTGCTTGGCACATGTACTGAGAGCTTTTAAGCACATTTGTCCTTGTTTTTACGCAGTACCGGGGATCGAACTCAAGACCTTGCGCTTGCTAGGCAGGCACTTACACCGCTGAGCTGTCTCCCTGTCCCCTCAATTGAATTTTTTAAAATCTCATTTCTAGAGAGCTGCTTTCCCTCCCCTCCTTTTAAGTTTAAAAAAAGGACTGATTATGATCTTTTATGTAATTTGACATAAGGTCATTCCAAGTTTATTTTCAACTAAACACATACACATGGATGGGGAGATTTAATGATAAGATGGAAGCAAACGGATGCTGCATTTGGAAAACAACATCTTCATTAAGCTTATCTCTTAGCTTGCTTCTCTTCCCAAATCTTTCAATGTTGCATTTCACTTAGGTCACTCTCTTCTAGCAAATGCCAACGATGCAAAATTGTTCTATTTAAATTACAGCCTGAAGCGGACTTGTTTTCGCTCACAAGATAATTTTTTTTACTGTAGCCGCCCTTAGTTATTTTTCAACCCGAGCATATTTGAACTGATGGGCACCTGGCTGTGTGATAGATAATAAATGGAAGATCCACAGAGGAGATAGGATGAGAATGCTGGCTTATCAAATAGCTACCCAGGCGGCACTAAAGCTAAGAAAAATAACTCCAAAAGATTCAAATCCCATCTTGTTAAAAATGTGTTTACAGTGCACTAAGCAAAGATATTAATTATTTAATTTTTTCCCATGCGTCAAAATGTACAGTACTGCTACAGGAGGTAGGCATTATGGAAGTGCAGAAAACCTAAGGGAGAATTAAGAAATAATACAAAGTAGTATATAATTAGCCTTAAAATTAGAGACACAGAAATAAATACTAAAA